ACTATATAATTCCGTTTGAATTCCGCATATTGTACTGGTGAGAAGTGTTAGTGAAGAGGTGCTGATGTTCTGTGGTATTTTGAGTGTATAAAACTTAACCGCCACGCCGACGGTTTTCTCAGTACGTTTCACTGAAAGCTACCGAGGCGTTTTATTACGCCCATAACAGCGTTTAAGTGTTTTGGAGGAGACAGGCCAGGTAAACAGGCCTGCCACGCCTGTTGCAGTCCACCTACAGCGCCGTGATACTGAGGAAGGAGTCGCCGCTTACGCTCGAAAGCCGCCATTGCGCCATATTGACCATAAGTAAGTGCAGTGCCTCTCCCCTTATATTTCCATTTATTTCGTACTTGTCACCAGCTCTTACCTCGCGAAAACCCGCTTATTTATTTATTTATTTTTCTTGACCGCGCCTTACAGTCCACCCACGTTTTTAAGGAGATTTCGATCTCCCTCCCTGCGTAGCCTGCCTAAGGCCATAAAGGGCGGCTTCACCCACTATACTACACTGGGCCCGTGGTGGGTCACGGCCCATTCTCTCCATTCGATGCCAGTTATAGGGAAGGTCCCAGGAGTGGAGATATTAACAAGCTGGCGACGATGAAGTGTCGGTGAATATGAAGAATTATCTTTCAGAATTAGCTCTGGACTAATTAAATTGGCCCATTTTCTTTTATAATGAATATTGTATATTGATCTGTTAATGAGTTTGTATGAATCGGCAATCGGCATATTAATCACTTATCGAAAATATCTCTCTTATTTCTAATATTGTAATGGAATCTGACTTCATATTCTAATGAAGTCACGTTTCAATAAGACTCCTCTGTGTGAAATAAAACAGGGAGAAAGAATCAGCCCTTGCTGAGTTTCTTGCCGGTTCTTCTCAGTACAATGTCTCCCGCCGTAGTTTTGCGAGCCGATGGCGTAGTTTTCGATTTTCAGAAGTGCTCTATAAAAGTCTAAACTGAATAAACAATTTTGATTTAGATTTTTTGATTTTTCGTGAAGTGACAGAACTGTACCTACCCGTAGCAACACTCTACGTAAACAAGGGTATAAACTCGAAACTAATATTTTCCATTTATCGTTGGAGAATATCACGCATAGTACTTTTATTATTGACATACGAATCAATGAAGGTAACATAACACTAAGCTTAGACGATAGACAATGTGGAAAAGTTCATTTGCTACATTAACTCCAACCCAACCGAGAATCGTAGCCGGTTCCTCTGAGATGGTGAAACCTTGAGACCTGTGAATCATCAATTAGAAAATGTCTCTAGGAATATCCTTTCAAACGTCATCGTAAAATGAATCGTGTGTTTATTCTTTTTCTTTTACTAATGGTTCTATTGTCAATAAAGTGGATGAATAAGTTAATGTTACTTTCACCGGTAGCAGACACAGCAGTCGTGGCCGAGTGGTTAAGGCGTCTGACTCGAAATCAGATTCCCTCTGGGAGCGTAGGTTCGAATCCTACCGGCTGCGAAGCTTTTGTTGGGTAATATAATATTAACTTCAAATAAGTTTTTACTTTTACCTATGTAGAGCACAATCTTCTCCTTTATTAATTTTTATGCAAACGTTTTTGTGAATGTAAAATTTTTTTAGTTGATTCAATTATATGAATAGAATTATTGTTTCAATGGGTACCTATAAGATCAAAACCATTTTAAATGTATATAATATTGCTTGTATTACCTGAAGGTTTGACTGTAAATTTCTATTTCTCTAAAAGAAGTTTAGTTGTTTCAAAGTGCATGCAAAGTATCTTTAAAGAACATTAGCGCCCAGTTAGTTGTCCGAGACAAACATCCATTAAGTTTTAATGACGACTTAAAACTCTGATAAATAATTAATTATAGATTTAATGGACATTAGTGCAACTAACTATAAATTTATTGTAAAATAGTAAAAATAAATATTAGAAATACACATACAAATATAAGATTAAGAGATAAAAAACTTCGCAGTCGGTAGGATTCGAACCTACGCTCCCAGAGGGAATCTGATTTCTAGTCAGACGCCTTAACCGCTCGGCCACGACTGCATTAATAATTATTCTTCAACAAAGGAATTCCTTATCGAGATTTTTTAATCATGCTGCATTTTAATAATGATATATACAGCCAGTTGCACGAACGTCCATTAATATTGTCATTAGTTTTAAGAGACTTTTATTAGTTTAAATGAATTTAAAATTCATGTAAAGAACATACTTATGAGTAAAGGCTATTATAAAGTTGATGATTATTTTAAGGATTGCAATGCATGGAATTAATAGCCTTCGCTTTGTTCTATAAAGACTAATTATATGTTCAACCTATGTCCTACAGACTTTGAAAGTTGTATTTATTATTGTGATAATACATATTATTTTGGTAATGATATGATTTATGTAAATGTCATTACTTATGATTAAGAGCTGGTAAGTTTCTTTCGCTTGTTCTTCTTGTCAGCTAAAAGACGTCCTGAACAAGTGGAAGGGGAGAAAAAAATTATTTTAACGATTTAAAAGTGCTTGTAATAGCCTACTTGAATAAAGATATTTTCATTTAATTTCAGACATTATCGATACAAATTTGATATTCATTAGATCTTAAAGGCATAATTAAACCTTAATGAACGTTTGTGCAACTGACCCATATACAACCGTTTAGAAACACTCTTTAAAATGTTATTTTTTAGGAACAATAGTTGCAGAATAAAACCGCATTACTTTATTTTTGTTTTATTTGCAGAATAAAACCGCATTTTTTTATTTTTCTCTCTAAAACTCTATTAATTTTGCCTAAAAGTGCTCACTTATCTAGATAGTAATTACATATTTATAATGTTATACATATTTTTTTCCTTAAAATCGTATTACATTGATTTATCATCTTAAGTCCTTGTAAGTGTACACTACAGGGATTCGGGTCTTCCTTATGGATGGTCAAGAAGGATGGGCCATGGCCCAACGCGGATATTTACGAATGCAAATGCAGTCAGACCAACAGCTTAATGTGCTTTTGAAATCTATACTAATTATTATGTAATCTTAGAAAATACTGATCAGATCATGAAAAATACTTCATCTACGGATAGTTACATCATACGCGGTTGGTGTAGGTCCTATACTATAATTTAAATTTCAATTATAATTATTATTCACCGAAATATAATATTATAATTAGAACTATCGGGATAATAGAGATGTCTAGCTCAGGTCTAAAAAAACTTTCAGTGCATTTTTCTGACAAGACATTCAACATTTTCTATTATATTTTCTCTGTTAAATGTCATTTTTTTATTACAGATTATGATTAGATGCCATGATCACATTACTTTTGCTATTTTGATGCTGTTCTAAATAACACAATGCTGCTACATGATTTATCTATTCTTATAGAACAGATAACACTTCTATTATTTGTTTTGACAAATCTTATGTCATAAGAAAGAATTTATCTTCAGAAAACGATTATCTTTATCAAGACATTGACATCATTATCAATTTATCATACCAAGTTTATTATTGGACTGACACATAATGTCGTATAATATCTTTGAAGTTACTCTATTGTTTAGTAAAATTTTTATTAATATTAAGATGCATTTTTCCCGCTAATACGATAGATAGAGCTAGAACAGGGGTCAGAAATCTTATATATTAAAGACTTATAATAACTTTTTTCGATATCTAATGTGACTGAAATATTATTGCAGTGCTTCTGAATCGTTCACAGTTAGTTGTATTGATTCGTTTAATGGTAATAGCATCCTTTATGTCCAGAGTCGACAGTTAGTTAGTTACAGACAATAAAGGCTCAAGCCAAAAAAAAGTGCAAACTGAAATAGGTATACGATGGTTGGATATTGTCACCTGAATATATGAAATGTTATATTTTTGTTGCAATCATCATTGTATTTCAAATGAATCACGGTCTGAAATAAAGATTTATTATTATTCTTATGAGACAAAAGTACCAAAAAATACAATAAAAAAAAAACAAAATTTTTAAAGAGCCACAGAAAGATTTCATTTTAATATTTATCATATTATAATTGACGTTTAAATTATTTCAGATAATTAGGTTTTAAGATACAAAATAATGAATACGTTAACGGTTTTTGTAAATCTGAATATTTTTCCGGCAGTAATAATAATAAAACCGACTTTTTACACCTTTTACTATTATCAATAGGTACATAATAATATTATTACATCCATAAGTAGCTTTCCGCCAGCGACTTTGTGATCCTGTATTACATCTACATATAAACCTTCCCCTTGAATCGAATCCGAATTTTAGTTGAGTTCTCAGCGTACAGAAGAATAGGAATCGATTTTGTTTTTATCCGACTACAGCGGTGAAGCGAAAAGGAAGGTTATGATTTTAGCCGGTATGTATGTATGTATCTAAGAATGTTCACCTGTTCCCTTATAACTTCGAAACTACACATCGTAACTGGACAAATGTGATATCATTAGAAGCGTTTTTGTTGTCCTCGTGCTATGTGACGTTAAATTGACAACAGCACCCTCTAGGGAGTATAAAGTAAAGACTAAAAAATATATTATTCAATCATTCCGTGTAAGGTATCAAATGAAACAGCTTAATTAGCATTTCAAATACATATATATTGATAGCTTTTGCTTGTGATTTCGCTTAAATACACCCGAAAATTAATTGAATAAAAAATTAGTTCAAAAACTAAAAAACCTAAGTCGCGCTTTAAAGAGTTTAAAACAAGAAACTTATTAATTTGCGTTGGCCATAATAATAAAAACACCTGTAGTAGAATAAACATCATTGCTTTAGGATATGTATTGTATCTCTTATAATCAGATAGGGCCATCGTTGGCAATCGAGATAATCTCAAGCACTCTGCTTACTTGCATATTTATAAAGAACTCATTTAGTATTGGACAGATCACGTTTGCTAAAATGTATTTTCGAACGTGTCTGATGTAAGTATTGTTTAGCGATTTTTTTAATGGGTGATTATCTCAGTAATTGGAGTAAGGCCTTTAATGAATGTCGTTGCTTTAATCTAAAAAAATGAGTTCAGTAAGTTCGAAATCTTCTTGTTACTTTGCTAACGCATTTCAAAATATTTAAGTGATAAAATGGCCAGTCGTTATTCTATTATTTATGTTAAGCATAAGAGTATTTTGTTTATTGGCCAAACTACTACCCAGCTAATTACCCAGCGTTATACTTTGGTATTTGTTTAGCAAAGTGTGTAACTAATTTTATTAAAATAATAAAAATTGCAACAAAATAAATATTAAGCTAGTCACCCTCACCTTCACTTAACATCTCTAAAAAGTTTGTTTGTTTTTACTTCTTGATATATTGCGTGTGTTTTTTATAGATTAGCCGTATTTTGTGTGGCCTTCTCTGAAGAGCTAACAGTCGAGAATACATCAAAGCAGCGGCAATCTGGCAGAAGGTTTCCAGATGGCTTTCAGTTTGGAACAGCCACTTCTTCTTATCAGATCGAAGGAGCTTGGGATGCTGACGGTATCTTGCTAAATTTATATATAAGTAAAATAATGTATAAGGTATTCGTGACAATTCGAAATTAGTTATTTTTTATAATATTTAATATTCCTTTTAGGTAAATCAGAAAGTATTTGGGACCACCAAACTCATTTAAATCCAAATCCAATTGTCGATGATTCCACCGGCGATGATGCAACTAAGTCTTACTATTTATATAAGAGGGATGTTGAAATGTTGAGGGAGGTGGGAGTAGATTTTTACAGGTTCTCTCTGTCATGGCCACGAATATTACCTACAGGTTTTCCAGATGAAATAAATCAAGCCGGTGTGGATTATTACAATAATTTAATAGACGAACTCTTGAAGTATAATATTCAGCCTATGGTCACGTTATATCATTGGGATCTACCGCAAAAGTTACAGGAGCTGGGTGGTTGGGCAAATCCTCACTCTGTTGATTGGTTTGGTGATTTCGCAAAGGTTGCTTTTAATGCTTTTGGAGATAGAGTTAAACTATGGGTAACGATAAATGAACCAACGCAAATTTGCTACAATGGATACGGAAATGGACAATTGGCACCATTCTTGACATTCTCAGGAGTAGGTGACTATATGTGTGCTAAATATCTTCTGCTAGCTCATGCTAGAGCCTATCATATTTATAATGAAGAGTTTAGAAGTACTCAGCAGGGATCTATATTTATAACGTATAGTGCTGGTTGGCAAGAACCTGCGTCAGATGAAGATGTCGCTGCAGCCCAAGAAGCTGTTGCGTTTGATGTAAGTGTGTATGATTGATTTATTATAAAAATGTTTGATAAGATCAAAATAAAGTAATTTTGTTCCTTTTGTAGCTCGATCAATATGCATATCCAATATTCTCCAAAAGTGGTGGATGGCATCCACTTTTCCAAGAAATAATAGCAAAGAAAAGTGCTGAGCAAGGTTTTCTAAGATCAAGATTGCCAGAGTTATCAGATGAAGAAATCAAATATTTACAAGGGACTTCTGATTATTTTGGATTAAATCATTACTCTACGTATATTATTTATAGAAACCAGTCCGTGAGTACACACGCGATACCTTCACGGGAAGACGATTTAAATGTGATGTGGTTCCAGCCAGCCGAGTGGTGGTTAGATGAAAATGATACTGTCAAGGTACTCAACACTCTGGCGAATTCATTAGGTACTTCGTTTAAATAACCATTATAGGAAATCTGTTACTGATTATTAATTTTTTGTTTCTAGAGTGCGCCTTGGGGTTTTCGCAAACTACTGCAGTACATTCGGGAGCAATATGATAATCCTCCAGTGTACGTGACAGAGAATGGCTGCTCCTCTTTGGCCAGTATTGATGACGATAATAGAGTGAGTTACTACAGAGGTTACCTTGGGGCCATGCTGGACGCTATTGCTGAAGGTTCTGATGTAAGAGGATATACTGCATGGAGTCTCATGGATAACTTTGAATGGCGTAAGGGCTACACGTAAGTATATGAGACATCATCTCACAGCTCGCGACATAACTTATGGCTTCTGGCAAAAGTATATATAAATTCTTAAAAATAGAGTAGATATTCTAATACGTTGAACTAGATATACTCACACATCTTAAGTGCATAAATCAAATGCCGAGAATAGCGCGTGAGCTGATTAAGAGGTATTATGAGTTTTATTTGAATATTTTATCAAAATAATAGCTCTTGCTATGCAACAGTTACAATTATAAGATAGTTAATTTGAACAGTTAGTTTGGAATAAGATACTTATCAGAATATTTCATATCTGTAGTATAGTATACTAGTATTGATATCATCGTCAGACTATTTTGAAATCGCATTATAAAATATTTTTGATTTTAGTGAGAAATTTGGTATCTACGAAGTCGATTTCACTAGCCCAGAGCGCACACGCACACCTCGCAAATCTGCATTTGTCTATAAGGAGATTCTGCGTTCACGTACACTCGATTATAACTATGAACCTGATACTACAGTCATGACAATTGATGAGGGGCATTAAAATTTTAAAAGAAGAAATGATTATTTATTTTATTGTTTACTCAACCAAGAATTGGTCATGACCGCTGTCTAACATTTGGGTCCGGGGATGTGACCGCTTTCTCTCTAGCCATAGGATTCGTACATCTTAGCGAATTTTACTTCATTTTAATACTTTGACATGTCTCTTGGTGGATGAATGGCTAAGTTGAAAACACTGTTGTGAAATCCATATTCACCATTCTTTATCATTCGTTCGTCCTTATTCTAGTACATGTCAAAGTAGTAAAATGAAATAGTGCTGTAAGGTGTCGCATTCTATAGCTAGAGGAGTTAGGTGGTCTCTCGGCTGATGTCAGTGGGAGGACTCGCCAGCGTGTGATTTCGAAGAAGAATTGTCTACTCACCAAATATTTTGGGCACCTAGCATACTTATTTGTCCTTAATATTGTCCAATATGGTTTTATCAAACCAAAATGGATTTCACAAATAAATCAATTAAAGCATATTTCATGTAACTCAACCAGTACCAAGGATGACTGAGAGAAAATTAGTCGAATATCCCTTAAACTGGTTTTCCACAGCCATATATTTAGCCGTAATTTTACATAAGGTTTTTAATTAATCATATATTCATTACTAGCTGTGCCTGCAACTTCGTCTGCGTGGGAAGTATTTTGGTAGAATTCTTTTATTCCTATGAATAGAGTCGAATCGAATAAGATCAATGGGCCATAACCCACTGTGCTAAATGCGGATCGGTGGGTGTTCACGTTGCTGATGCAGCCAGGACTACCGCTTAACGTGCATTGTGCCAGTGCTGTGCACAGTGCTCAAGATAATAATGTTTTGGTCACCCATCCTGTCCTTACGAATGTAATTTTTCTATCTTTTCGTTTCTCGCGCTTTGGTTGTCATTTGTGTCTGAGAATTTTATTCGTACCTAAAAACTGTCCTCCTTTTGTTTTTGATATTTTTAAATTATTATTATTTGTCTAGTTGTAGGCACAATTGGCTATTTATTGCTCTATTTTCCATGTAATGCTAGGTTGCCTGGAAGAAATCGCTTGCTAGCGATGAGTTTGTCGTTTATACTTAGTTATGTAAAATAAGTATTCAAGTATGTCCTTGTTTATTTCACTGCAATTTAAACCGAATGCGTTAACTCTTGTACCTAAGATATATATTTATATTATAAAGAGGAAAGATTTGGTTGTTTGTTTGTTTGTATCGAATTTGCCCCAAAACTACTGGACCGATAGTTTCAGAGCGATTCTACCTACGGGAAGCTACATCACGGATGTCATAGGCTATAATTTTGCAGCAAAGTTGCGGGAAAACAGCTAGTTCATTATGCCTTGTCAAAACTCATCTGCGGTAACCCTGTGGAGTATGAAGCCAACACGGGTTGGCGATAATCGAAACTACTTTCTCGATCTCTATTGTGTAAACTGCGAGCACTTTCAGAGACCAAGCGCATTTCTCTATCAAAGGAAGTTTCATACTCATACCATACTGCATGTATGTTACGGTTAGCAGTTAGACGCGCTATGTGATCTTCAGAAGTTTCCTGAGATCAAACGCTTGTTGTATGAGTTCTCCGAGAGCTCAAGAGATTATCCCTGACGGTAAATGCTTCAGATTCAACTTTATAGTGCATGAGCCTCTCGATGGGTAATGCTTCGCGTTATTCAGGTGTTTTCCTAGACCGAACGCTTTCCGTCAAATCTCTTTCTTTGTCAATAAAAGTCGGTCGGTACATGTCTGACGGAAGATACGTTGAGTTTTATTTATTAATGATAATATATACATATTTTAATTTCGACTTTCCACACTCGAAGGAAATCGTCTACTAACACGTACTTCCGAGAGGTGTTTAACTGAGCTTAAGTCAGATTTGAACGGTCCTCAACATCATCATCAGCCGTTTTACGTCACCAACAGCAGGAGCTTTTTGGATTAAGGAGGATGGGCCACGACCTTCCATGCTGGCCCAATGCGAATTGGAGGATATCAACGACTGCAAATACAACCAGGACCAATCGCTTTACGTGCCTTACAAAGCTTGGAGTTGCTTGAGATAATATTTTTTGGTGTGACCCATCCTGTGACCGACCTTTGTGAAAGTTGCTTCTCATGGGAGATGAAACCCGTTGCTGCCGTCTCATGGGAGATGAAACCCGGCAAGCTATGGCCGTGTTATCAGAACACTCAAGTATTGGACTTGACATTGGTCCCCTTGTAGATGGAAAATTGTAGAGGCTCGGGTAAATCGAGTGCCTCTCCCAGACAGACGAAACCGTGCAATGCGGGGGCTGCCAACCACCTCCGCTGGCCCCGACGACGACGTGAACCTAATTTGATAAAAATATGCGTTCACTGTAAACTACTTGCATCATCGGAAGGCTCTTTTCGCTTGTTCTCCTACTCGCGTGATCGTATACCACACGTCCATTATAACCTGAACCCTATTTATATTACATTGGCCATTTATAAATGAGATCAACTTACTTTGGAGTTGTCAAATTTTGGAATCTCTTTTTTCTTTTTCATCATACAAATTATCATTTTATAGACAATATTAATTCGTAGCTCGGTGGCGCTACGGATAAGCGCCACTGGGCACGATCGATATTGCTAAGGAATTTTTGCAAGAGTTGTTCACGGGATGGGTGACCAGAAATTATTAAACAAAGGCCTGAGACCCTGCAGTTTGGCGTTAATGATGATGATCAATATATCAAAGACGAAAATTTAATAAAACAGTTAATATTTCATAGCAATTTTGGCGACCACGTCACTTCAAATTGACATAACTTTTTTATTTGTGAACCGATTGAAATAAATCTTACACTAAATGTTAACGGAAGAATACCACAATATAATAGTGAAAACTGCATTTAAATCGGTTCAGCCGTTTCTGAGATTATCATGCACAAACGCACAGACAAACAGACAAACCGACAAACAGACAAACAGACAAAAAATTTAAAAATCATTGTTTTGGGTTCTATTACGCTTATAAATGTCCCTTATAACAGTTTTTTTCATATATCTTCAATGTACAGACATCGATCGGTTACGTTTTTATTATAGTATAGATTACAAACAAACAAGAGAAAGTCAAATATTTCCGCTTTTTAATACAAGTATACTAGGTATTTTCCTGACTTGGCGTAAATTATAGCATCATCCGCGTATGATATAGAATCCCGTAGGTGTAAGTTTTTTTTTTTAAATCGGTTCAGTAGTGTCAAACAGACAAGTGATCGAATCTTTCCTTATTAGTGTAATATGTTTCAATCGACTCTTAATTTTATTTCACAATAAATATGAACCACATGGATGTTGTATAAACCACATGTGTTATTATAGGTAAAGTAATTAACTTAGTTTTGCCTGAGCCTAAACTAAATAATAACCAAGCGCAAATTCTGTGGTCATTTAATGTTCACTAATTTAAGTTTGTTTAATCCACCAGAGGCCCTTGTAGCCCTTTGTACACAACACACAATTCTATATTAAATAATAGGCAATTTAAGAAAGTCTTATTAAACGACGTGAGCTATGGGAACTGAAAATAAAAAGAAATAAACCTAAACATAATATATTTTTCTTGGACGTGTAAAAAAACAAAACTATTAATCTAAGGAGGATTATAGGAAATTGTAAAAGAAAGGGAGTTAGCCTAGGACACCATTGACTTTACTGTTAAAATTTTAAAGTACGAGTACATATATTAAATAAAACTTAATAAAGAGTTATTTTCGTCTATGGAGATGAAATAATCATATTTTAACTTTAAAATTAATAATTAACTGAATATCTGTTTACGTTTATTTAAAAAACACATAAGGTTGTCACGTTGGTCGATTTAAAATGTTTTATAAGAGTATTTTGTAAAATAGGTAAAGCTAATTCTTTTTGTATCTAGTCTTGATAATTTTTGCTTAATTTTATTACGCTACTCCAGTATTCGGGGGTTTAATATCAAGATTAACTAATGTTACCCTTTTCATCTATTTTACGATCGTGTTTCTATTCAAGTTTAGGTAAGTGGAACCCTTTAATTGCCATCAGGATCCCACTACAATAGCTGGTTTAATAACCTTCATTAGATTTGCTAAGTTAAATATCCTCGGTTTACAACTCCTACGTTAAGTACGAACTAGTACGAAACCACTAAGTTCACTATAAACTGCTGCCATTGAAATAATTATTATAATTATTTGAAAACACTGTATAACATATTGTCATTTATTATTTTATCTCTGTAATTAATTACTTTTTAACACCTTAAAATAAAATAGAAAGTTGAATTTTATAAACCGGTTAGTTAAATTCAATATCGATTGCAAAAATATGGGATTTTATTAACCTGATGTGTTAAATGTCGTAAAATTAATAAAATATTAATAAATTTCTTTTGCATGCCAGTTTCTGGTAAATATGTCTGTTAACTAGAAAATAAATTGTAACATTTTGTACTTTCCATATTTGTGCAGAAATAAATATATTATTATTAATATTATATATTATTAATTAATAAAAAAAGATTTGCAATTTGAACAAAAAAATTACCAATACAATATTTAGGTCGACGAGGATTTATAGCATGCTCCTTGTGGTGGATACTAACTTTTGTCATTCAAAGGCTTATGCTAAACTTGTTAGTAAGTTATGTTATAATTTAATAGGTAAGATATACAGACCCTTATTATTTATATATGGTTTTGAACTCAATAATGAAGACAAGTTAAAATCCGTTCTGTTTATTAAAAGTAATAAATTTAATCTTATTAACTAGTTATAAACAAATAGGGGTTATACTCTAATAACATAATAGCGTTTCAAAGACTGACGTGAAATGTCACAGTTATGTTACGTTTAAATATTGATAGATGGCGTTATTGCTTTTTTATTTAACTAACAAATAATTATATTAGTAATTTTATTTAACTAGTATGTTGATTCATTTATTATTTTGGAAATTAAAGTAATTTTTAACTTAATAAATTGAAATGCTTTTTGGAACTCCTTATAAC